AGTTTCATACAAAATATAGGAAAAAACACTTCTTCTCATGTATTTAGCATCCAAGACTTAACAACTCCACAGATATAACAAAGTCTCTAGCTAAAAACTCCCAGGGAAGAGGTACACTACTTGGTTATTTGTTACTACTACATAACCCATAAAAATTGACTACATGGTGACTAAAACTCTACTGAGAGGTTGGGCATATAATCCTCCCGTTTTATTGCCACCCCTTGAGTAACGAGCATACGGACGCCCATAGGTGGCAGTAAATAGCAGGATACGTGCACAATTACAATAATAATTTTCACATGACTTGCTTACCCATAACAAATATGTTTTGAAGATAACGAGCTGCACTTCTTCCCATGAGAAAACCCTAACAAATAGTTCTGGAGAGAGAATGAGCTCTGTCATATCTCAGAATTCAGGATCACTAGTTCTTCTCAGAACTGCTAGGATACTAGAAGCTTTCATTTATTGGAATAAATGCCCAGTTGAAATCATCTTGCCTGTTTTTTATTCTCTTGGGTACTAATATTGTACAGATAGCCCTTGTTTAGCAACCACAATTGGGACTGGCAACACAGTTGTTAAGTGAAGTGGTTGCTAAGTGAAGCTGTGACTGTGCTGATGATCTTTACAGACCTGCGAAGATTGTAAATGCAAGGATTGGTCATAAAGTTACTTTAGCTGATCCATTAGGCTGTCCATCTTGCTCTGTTTTGCTTTGGGAGCAACTTATCAAGGGAAACCGACATATCCAGATGATCTCACAGAGATGGTGCGCAGTCAATGTTGCATGCTCGCTTGATCATTATAGGAAGGAAGAAGATGGTGGGAGAAAGCTCTGGGGTGCTGCAAGATGTGCATGGGCTTTTTTTTTTTTTTTAAAGAAAAAGATTCAGCCATCAGTTGCTGTCTAAAATAAGACAATACTGATCGATTAAAAAGTTGAAGCTGGGCTTGAAAATGAATTTAATTACTTGATGCCCCCAAAGTAGTGGAAAGAGCTAGTGTAGGCTTTATAGGTAATTCAGTCTTTTGACAGAAGAAAATCATTATTTAGGAGGCCTAGGAAGAACTGTTTTCTTTTGATAAGGTCATGACAGTGTTGTGGTAGATGAATTAGTTAGGGATATTCAACCTTTTCCAAATGGCAAAACCTTTGGAATATTTAAGAAATGTTGCAAACATCTCCCCCAACAGCTGCTACAGGAAGAATGTTTAGTCACGTAACGTGTGTATAAAACAATCAGACAGAAAAAAAGAAAAAATATTGGTATCAGTAAAATTTCCCATCTGAAAATATTCCATTGATGGGTCATATATCGTACTACCATGCGAGGGCTTAAGAAGGCATTCCCTATTCTCTTACACGGCTCTTTTGTTTCAGGATCCTCACAATGAACTAAAAGGAAAAAATGTTCTGATAATGCAGTACTCCCTGGAGCTTACAGCCGCCCGATTTGGACTGCAGCTGGAACAGCTGAAGACGTTGCTTGTTAAAAGCAGACAAAAACTATACGGAGCACGAACCCAGCGGCCACGGCCCCATCTGGACAGCAAGATGCTGGCATCCTGGAATGGTGAGGCTTGTTCTTTTGCCCTGAGCTCAGTCACACCTTTGCCAAACTGCACAGATACATGGGAGAATTCTGTGAGAAGGGGAATAGTATATTTGTCGTGGTAAGTTCTTCCATTTTTCAGCCATTTAAGGGAAATAATTTGGTGAGCTGACTTAACCACACCTGATAAGTCTACTTCTCTGGTGTTAGAAAAATAGTCTGTGATGCCACCAAAGTTATCTAGTGTTTTTCCTCTTTCTCCTGGTTTTTGATCTTTTCCTCTTTTTTTATTCTGGCCAAAAGTAGACTGGACAAGAACTATTTACTGAAACTGTTTTGACAGCAGGGGGCAGTAGCATCTTTTTTCTATTTCCTCACAGCCAGAAAAAATCTTCCTTAACCCATGAAGGTGTTTGTGTTATTGTAGTTTTTCACATTATATAAACACAGAGGGAGCACTCCTCTCCATTATGAAATGAAGATACTTGAACATATAATGGAAAAGTAATAGACAAGCTCACTCGCTATCTGCCTTGACAATGTCTATGCTGTCCAAGTGGTTCCAGAATTCACAGGCAGTCTTTCAGAAATCTTCCATTTGAGTTTCTAAGTTCATTTTTAAAACAGTGAGGGAAAAAGCATTCAAGGCCATGGAGACTTACTGACTGTGATCTTTGCAGGTGACTATTTTACCAAGTTCTAAGTTCTATGAGTGAATGCCACCCGATCTGTAATCATTGTGTCATGAGTGATGAAGACACTGTTTGTCCTCTTCTTTTTTCCTGAATCTCTGATTAGGAGTAGAAGAAAGCATGTAAAATAATGCTCTGCTCAGTGGCAAGTGAAGCATTTGACAAATAATAGTCTGCCTTTACCCTGTCTTTAGCATACTATGCGAAGAGAGCCATTTTAAGGAAGAAGTGACATAAACTGAGTAGACTACTAGGAGACTTGCTCAGGGTCAAAAGAAATTAGCTGCTGGTTGAATGTTCTGAGGGTGTGAATTCAAATGAGCACTCTCCACTGCTTTGCCTCCTAGGACTGATGATCTCTGGCTTTGCTCAGTGTGGAGCCATCTTGGGCAAGAAAGAATACATTGACCGAGCTGTACGTGCAGCTTCCTTCTTGCAAAACCACATGTTTAATGCCAGCAGTGGAAAGCTGCTAAGAACCTGTTACAAGGGCCAAGGCAACACAGTGAGCCAGAGGTAAGTGGCAGGCAATCCCAAGCGCTACAAGGCAACCAGCAAGAAGAGAGCTTGGGCAGAGGGAGAATGGGACTTTTCCTCAGGGATGGAGTACCTTACTTTGCACAGTGAGGTTCTGGTCCACCCTCGTGGTTCCAGTTAAAAACATTAGTTAATAGGCAATAGGAAAGACTTGTGCCTGAGTCCCTGCAGAGCTGTTGCCAATTAAATGCAAAACTATATTGAGTTGGGTGAATAAATAATTAGGCCTGGAAGAAAGCAGGCTTCCTTCATACCCAAACACGCGGCAACTGCATTTTTGTTTCTGTGATGCTGAAGGAAGTGTGCATGAGAAGAGGCAATTAGGACTGGAGCCTGCTAGGCCTAGAATTCTCTTGAGGAGGGAAACCAGCCAAGCCTGCAAGATAAAACATCTAAGGGCATGCTAGGCAAATGTGGCCTATATATACTTTAATCTCATCACAAAACTGAATCTGACATTTGGAGTTTCCAGACTTTTTTTTTTCCCCCCTCGCTTGAACCTTGGCTATATGCTTAAACTAGGCTACTGTACCTGGGCTTCAAAAATCCATATGACATCTAGATGGCATAAAAGACTTTGTTGCCATCTAGTGGCCATCCAGCCACTAGTTGTGAGAGGACCGGTTGTAAAGTTACTTTTTCAGCAGTGTCGTAACTTCGAATGGTTGCTAAACAGGGCAGTTGTTAAGTGAGGATTATCTGTACCATATATTTGTGTAAATAGACATGTATGAAAGATGGAGTATGGAATGTGAGAATGACCTTGGCAGATGGGGGAAGAGATGCTGCCTAGGGAACAATCAGATAAAAGGGGAGGAGCCTGCAACTGAGTAAAGGGGAGAGAAAGAAACTTAGAAAGGACCTGTCCTAACTGATCAGGCAGTAAAACGGGATGGCAGGAGATTTGTACTTTCATACTTGCAAGATTCTGTTAATGTAGCCTAAGAATAAAGTAGAAGTAGCTCATCTGTTTGTATTTCCTGTCTGGTTTACCTGGGAGGGCTGACAAGTATATGAAGCCCATCCAAATCAGGCGAGAGAGTCAGAAAGTTTTGTTCTAGAAGATTGCAGCCTACTTAGCCTAGGTAGAATGATGGCTTTGAAGGAGATGCAACAAAAGTTGTTTTCAAAACAACAGATGGTTCCCGTGTGAACTGGATGAGGTGGAAAAGTACTAAGAATCATGAGAAAATGCCAAGATGGGATAGCCAAACCATCCCATAGGACAAAGGAGTGTGCACGGTGGGTGTCCTGCTTTAATTCTTTGAAACTCAAACCTAGTCTGCCCTGCTAGGCTTTAAGTTGGGTAGATATGAATGAGCATGTGTATGTGAGAGTGAATGGAGGTTTCAGTTAGCGAAGAGTAAAAGTTATAAACCTCTATTTGTTCCTATGTATCTTGAGTCTGTGGATGAGTAAGAGTAACCTGTAGCACTGGAGGCATTGTAAGACCCTCTTGACAGACCATTGGGATTCCATGTGCAGAAGCAAGCATTTCGATTAAAGGCAGGTATACAGTGGAGGAGTCTAGAGCACATGTATCCTTTGTAGTTTGAATTGCTGCAGTAGGCCTATACAAGAGGTTGCAGCCTATTTTCCTATACTGAGATTGGTAGCTATTTACCTGGGGAAGGATGCACTGCCTCCTACCTTTTCACAGTAGCCCAACAGATACTTTTATGACATTGGCTCGTTCTACAAATACCCGTCTTCTGACAGGATATGCCATCTTAAAACCGGTTCTTCTCTTGACCAAACACAAATTACATATATGTCAATAGAACTAGAGGTAATCAGAAAGGGAGGGTGATTTGCTTGACTACATTGTGCTAATAGTGGCTCTGCACCCGCTTTTTACATCTCAGGTTGAACTTTGTTTAAGCTAGCAAATTGAGCTGGTGGGAGAAAAGGTGGAGAGAGGAGACAAAGGAGGGGAAGACTGAAGAAGTGATATTAAAACTACATTTGCACTCACCTTTTCATGGATAAATGCTTTGCTCCCAGGTTTATTTCAGTAGTAAAGTTCTTCACCTTTGTAATATCACTTCAGGGGAGATTGAAGTACTGTTTTTCCTATTTGGTCCCCATATTTGGAGAATTATATTGGCTATCTACTTGCCTCGTGTCTGAGAATATGGTAACCATTGTTTTTAAAAGGGGTTTGTTATACTATCCTTCAGTTTCCACCTAGGAAGATAGAAAACATTATACTGAATTTGAGAACTGTCTATACTGTCTTTTCCAAGCATCCAGGGCAAAGCAACAGTAAAAAAATTCTTACCTATTTTAGTATTTTATAAATTAGAGGGGTGGGGGGAAGGTGCTGGACTAGGAGTAGGGAGACCCAGATGTGTGTGTGTGTGTGTACATATACACACACCTATAAAAAAATATCATGCCCCCCTCCCCCTATATTGTATAAAATGCTGCTAGACTATCCAGCAATACTTATGTACCAATCTCCTGTAATAGTGTCTGGTGTGAGAATGGCAGTAAAATTTCAGCACAAACACTTGTAGTTTCTCAATTCTCATTCTCATAAGTCAAAATCATTGCCACAAGGCAAAGAAAATAGAGTTCTGCCTGGATATTAGAGAATGTGATTTAACCAATCAGAACCTTGGATCTTCTTTTGAAATAACAGAAATGGCTGGGAGTATTTCACCTACATTTCTCTGTGGTGCTCATAATAATAATTGGACTTAGTAATGATAGGTCTGAGCTCCTCTTATGAGGTTGGGCTTTTCCCCCTTTGTTTTTGCAGTTCTGTGCCCATCCATGGATTCCTAGAGGACTATGTCTTTGTAATCCAAGCACTCTTTGATCTATATGAAGCCTCACTGAACCCGAGTTGGTTGGAATGGGCTGTGCAGCTGCAGCATAAGCAAGATGAGCTCTTCTGGGATCCAAAAGGTTTTGCCTATTTCTCCACAGCGGCTGCTGATCCTTCCTTGCTCCTCCGCATGAAGGATGGTATGTATTCTTTTGAGACAGGAGACTCCAGCTTCCAAAGGTGATTAAATGACAATCTTCACAAAACCTGTGGTCTGGGTATTGTATTAGTGATGCAGCATGCCTAGAACCGAATTCCACAGCAGTTATTGCAGCAAATAAAATCAGTTTACAATTAGTGAGAATATGGATTTCCCCCTGAGCTTATTTTAGAAACAAATTCCCAGGATGCTTAAAAGATTACCTCTAAGGAGAGAATCCCACTGCTTCTCAAGCTTGGATTAATGTCTAGGCCAAAGAAGGATTTCTAATTTCTCATCTGCTACCACGTACTAGATCTCAGAGTGCCCTCCTCACTTCACCCCACCCTTACTTAACTTCAGGTATAGGTGCCACTAGTAGCAGAAGTAGCAAGAGATGAGCAGGGAGAAAATCAGATTTTTTATTGGTGCCTGGAAAATCACTTCCCACCATTGATATTGCTCTCTTTTTGCAGTTGAAGCAAAGTTAAGGATCAAATGTGTTGGGGATTAAAGGACTGGCACAGAGGGATGATTTTTATTTTTAGGCCCTTGTTTCCAATATTTAATTTGTCTTTGAAAGTAAACTGGCTTGTCAAGAGAGAATGCAATCTAAACATAACTATGGAATTATGGAATTTCCCTCATCTGAATTGCAAAACTGCGCATGCGATAGTATATATTCTGTTGTGTTATACTTCCAGTTCTGCAACCCATTTCATTTGATATTATGCATATCAAGGAATTTGTGCCTTCACAGGCTTCAATATGCAGTTTTCTAGCTTGTGAATCTGTCTTTTGTCTTAGAATTTCCCAAATGCTACAACAAATCTGATGTTGAAACAAAGTGCACTGATGAAATTAATGGAGATGCAGATATATTACAGGGCAGAGTAAAGACAGTGGTGAATTGAGAAGGGAAGTCTATAACACACTGTTCTATCTGTTTAAAATAGGTGGAGAACCTGGTGCCCTCCAAATGCTCCTTTATGACAAGTCATAAAAACCTCAGTTGGAATGGCTAATGATTATGGAAGTAGTAGTTGCAAGTTACTGGAGCTTCTTACCATGCTCTAGATATGCATAATTTAATATTTTATCTGTTTTTATGGATTTTTTGGTTTTGTACACCACCCAGAGTCCATTGAAGTTGGATGGCTATAACAAATTTGAAATAATAATGGTGATGATTATGATGATGATGCAGATCTTCAGAGTCCCAGAAACTTGAACTGATTACTGTGCACAAGTTTTACCTTTGTCTTTCAGGTAGCAGAATTTATGAAGATATATTCTCATTGGTGTTCTTCAGCCCAAGTCATGGAGGGGGAAGGCAGCATGGCACTTCTTACATTCAACTATGTCTATTATATTCTTTTTAGGTCCATGCCTATAAATACTTTTTCTCTTAAATTGAGAATTGGCAAATAGATTTATTCTGTGGGAAGTTCATATTTCTTTTTTGTTTCACTGTAGGAATTCTGTTTGCTTATAACTTTCTTTTTTCAAACTACTCGATTAGATTGTGAGCTGCAAGTTTTGCTCTTCAGTTAAGCTGGAATTTTTAATTTGTTTAATTAACTGAATAAGAACAACAATATATCTTGATTGGCACTTATCAGTATAGCATTTTTTCCTAGTCTTGTTAGAGATCATTTCCGCATATTCTGTGAGTTCATAGAACACTTATAAAACAAATATAGTATCTCCAGATCCTGTAGAATGGTGGTTCACCCTCCTATTTCTTCAACATATGAACTTTATCTGATATTTTTTCAAGTAGAGCTACTGACCAAATTTTACTATACCATTTTTCAATTGATACATTAGCCAAATATTTCCAATGCTGAGCAATTACAAATTTAACTGCCAAAAGTTAAAAAAAATGTAATGAGTTTCTTACTGTTTAATCCCATATTCTGTTAAATATGTTTGAGAGTCCTAATTTGTGTGAAAATTTAATTCTCTGGTTAGTTAGAACATTCAATTCATCAAAACCTCCCCCCCCATGATGTCTTTTCTTATGTCCCCCAATGGTAGAAGAATGCTCCTCTCTGTTTGCCACCCTTCCAGCCTTTTGCTAGCTTAAAGCTGGAAGGCAAATATGCAGGATGGGTGGATGGATGAATGGATGGATGGATGGATGGATGGATGGATATCTTTTTAAGCTAACTGAAACAAGTTAAGCTGCAGTTGACAAAGAACATTGTATATAAGCATAATATAATTTTTTTTAGTTGTATGACATTGTGATGGATGCTTATGAATATGGGTGAACCCTGCTGGATGCCCTTGCAACCTGGTACCCTCCCAGTGTGGACCTGCAGCCCTCAGAATTCTCCAGCATTGCCTTTGGTATGCTAGAGATGATGGAGGTGTCCTGTCCATTGGGAGAGTCCAGATTGAGGTAGAATGATAGTCAGCATTCCTTTTCCAATCAGCACTGTGGTAGTCTAGCAATGTCTTGGTCTTTGTAACAAAGTGTACATGAATATGGTAGATCTGGTTCATTCTGATATGAAAATGCCAACAGATAGTTTCTGTGCTTGTTATCACTACATGGCCATCTGCAGAGATTAATGCATGGTATCTGCTTAAGGGGAGAATCTGATTAATCAGTAGACCCAGCTTATGCTCCAGTTTTTAACCCTGACAAGTGCAAGTGGTGGGATTTCAAGTGTGGAACATTAATGGGGTGTGCAGATATGAATAAGGCAAGCATCTCTCTTGGTACATAGTCTGAGGAAGTAGAAAAATGTATTTCTTCAGCATGCTTGTTATAGTGTATACATTTATTGCACTTTGATTTTATGTTATATTAACATGTTCTCAGTAGCATTGGCTGTTATTTGTTGGTATTAAGCAGAACAGTCTGGTTGGCAGAGAGTCAGTTCATATGTAGAATATCGTATAACTTAAAGGCTCTTTGGCTATTATCCTAGATACCTGGTGTTCCATAGGGATTGGGTGGGTTCCCTGAGAGCAGTTGACTGACACAGTCAGACATGGGAGAGCATGCAGTTTGAATGCTAAGGCCCAGAAGCAATTATCTGACAATTATATAAAAATTCTCTCCTATTCATATTTCTTGGAATTTGGATTTTAATGGGATTAAAAGGATTAAAGATTAAAAGGAATTGCACCCCTTAAGGCGGAGACATTGAAGAACCTGATGAATAGCATGAAAGTGGAATGCAAGCTCCACTCCCCTTGTATCCGCAGGCATATATGTGAAGAGTCGCTTTGTATGAGGTGGGCAGCTATATAAATGTGATATATAAATAAATAAAATAAATAAAAGTCACAATGCCCATACAAAAGGGACAGTGCCTGCATTGTGATGGCACCATGCTAATTTGTCATTTGCACAATGCTAATTTGTCATTTGCTTCCACTTGCCCCCCTCTCCCCCCTCATGCTTCTGCTTTAAGGTGCAGAAGTTGTCAGAGCCTTAATAAAAGCCCTTTAACTAAAAAGTATTTTCTGTGCTCAAAAAATAGCTGATTAACTGACTATTGTTGTAGATCAAGATGGTGCAGAACCCAGCCCCAACTCTGTTGCAGTTTCTAATCTGCTCCGGGCAGCAAGCTATACTAACCATGAAGAGTGGGTGAAGAAAGCTAGGCAGATCCTAACTGTCTTCTCAGAGAGGCTTGTGAAGATTCCCGTTGTCCTCCCCGAGATGGCCCGAGCCACTGCAGCTTTTCATCTGACACTCAAACAGGTATTGTGCTGGGCAGGACAAATGTAATATATAGCATTTAGAGCAGGGTTCTCCAACCATACTTCTTTCCAGATGAGTTGAGAGATAATACCTGCATTCCCAGGGGTTATTAGCTATTGATTCTAGGAGTTGTAGTAAAACAAATCTGAATGGCACCAAGTTGGGGAAGGCTAATTTAGAGAGAGAGAACTATTAGCACTGTGTATGAAATGTCTGGGATGTCAAAACAGAACTAGAGGGAAGATTTGAGATTTTCACAAGTAGGATCACTGTATTAAAGGTTTGCACTTGTTTCTAGAGCAGCGTTTCTCCATCCTGGCAGCTTTCAGACGTGTGGACTACAACTCCCAGAATTCCCCAATAGTGAGTTATCCCTGTCCTTAGGCAATCTCCACATGGGTTGTTTTGGCTCTTGTCCGGAGCCTTCATTAACTGGTGCAGTGTAAAACAAGGCTAATCTGCACATGATTTCAAGTTCTTTTTGCATTGTGTTAGAAGAACTTGAGTAAATAGTTTGCACCTCAGTTTCTTTACAGCTATGCGTTTGGTTGTTGATTTCATTTTTACTTGTTTGTCCCTTTCTTTATGGTTATGAATTGCTACATCTGTGTTTGATGTTCTCTTTTATCATTGCCAGTCTAGAGCCAAGGTCATTTCTTGGCAGAACTCACCTACAGCATTCCTATTTCTCTTTTGAACTGCTTAAATTCCAGGATTTTAGATCTTGGATTTGCTGGAACATTTTGAATAGCCTTAGTTTAGAAAGTGGGTTGAGCTGGAGCAGAAATCTCATAAACCATAAGCAAAGCTAGAAAAATTAGAAGGTTGTCCTTAACTTCTAAGTTTTAGAGAGAGGCTAAAATGAAAGAGCAGGAGGAAGAAGCAATGCCTAATATGACTGTTCCAAATAAAAGGAACTCATGAGCTTGGTTCCATCAGTTGAAAATGTCAATGAATTCAATCCAGCACTCTGTGTGCACATTGAGAATGTCCTCTTCAGTGCAGCCAAGGGAGAGTGAATATTTCTCCAGAGCTTCTAAGCACAAAACTGTTGTATTTTGTCAGACAGTTTCTGCTGGAGGGTTTTCTTACTGAGTTTTGCTCTTTAGGAAAGACTCAAAACATTATTCTTTGAACAGGTTGTTATCTGCGGTGATCTAACAGGAGAAGATACCAGAGAGTTACTGCATGGTTACTATTCTACTTACACTCCAAACAGGGTAAGATCCATAAGTTAGAAACTGGCTTCTCTGTTACCCCTTTTTTAGGTAATCTGGCTTTGATGTTTTCCTGTGCAACATGGGATCAGAATTTTCTGGGTTGGGGAGTAAATTACCTTCATAAAATCAAGGCCATCAAAGTTGTTCTCAGGAGTACCAAATCCTTCAAGAAGCAAGCATCACAAGAATCCTGGCTAAGTCAGGTTTGTTAACCAAATTTTTGAGAAGGCAGTGCCAAATCTATAAAGGCAGTCCAAGAAGACTTATCTAAGCAGATACTATTCAAAGGAAAATGATAGGTTCTGCTTCTTAACTGAAAGTTAGATAGCCATCTATTAGAAATGTTACAGCTGCTTGTGTTGAAGATCTCCATTGAACAGGGTTCTGGACTGGAGATCAAGTTTCTTTCTCTAGAATTTTATAAGATGCAGATTTCTGAAGAATAATTTCCAAAAAGTCAGTCTTGGGGAACCAAGAGATCCTAGGAACCAGGATATGTAAGAAAAAACAAGAGTCAGAGACTGGTTAAAAACTCTTGGGCTGATTTGCAGACATATGCCTGAGCCCTAGTTCCAGTATTAGGAAGTACTGCTTATGTTACCTTGACTAATTATGGCTTATCATTATCAGTCTTATTTATACGGATGGATTACTTTGCAGAGTAGATTATTATTAGCAGGTCCTCCCCAAATTCTGGTTCAGTAGGTTGAATGCTAGATGAGGAATGGATAGGATAGCCAAATTACTAGGCCCAAGTTAGGTTTCTTGGCTGAGATACCTGATTATGCTTCTGCAGGCCCTGCCTGAGATGAGTACAAGAGTACAAAATGTCTCTCCTTAGCTGTTTTATGGCTCTTTGCTTCTCCCCCCTCCCCCTTATGATCTTTCATACTTTTGTGGAATGTATTTCAGGTCTCAGAAACTCCTTTTAGCTTGTCCCTTATCCCTGTTTCTTCTAAGTTAAGGATGCAAAATCTAAGTTGGTGGAGGCTGGGCATCTAGAAATGGCAGTACAGAAGTTGCTTTATCTGTGCCTCCTTCCAGCCATTGTCTTTCTGGGCACATAAGTCTTAACACAGGGTTTTCACTATGTTTTCTTCATGAGAAAGTACTCATTATAGTATCATATACCTTGCCCAGCTGTCATCCTTGGACTGCCCATGCATCTATGTTCATAAAACTGTCAGAAATTCTACGTGGAAATGTACTGTTTCCTTAACAAATGAATGTGTTAGGTAACAGCAGGGAAAATTTGATTGTGCTGTTTATTTAGTTTTTCTGGAGAGAGACTGGATGAATGTTGTAATTTAAATGGATCATATTTAAGCTTTTCATGCTATAGGCTCTTTGATTTTATATAAGTTAATGTGCTAGTCATACCTGTCTTTTTGTTACTTAGATTTACTAGTGTTTAGATATCTTCTCTCTCCACATTTTGTTTGAAAATACTTGTACTCCAGCAACCCAAAATATTCAACAATAGGGAAATGGTTGAAAAATTTCAGTTTGGGATGGGGATGGGCTAGGCATTGTAGCTGCCATGCATATCTTTTGATTGGCCCTTGCAGGAGGAGCTTTACTTGGGGTTTGTAAGGGTTTAGAACAGCAGCAGGGATGGGATCTGGCTTGTCTGATCCAGACAAGCCCATGTTGCTGGTTATCTTATTTAAAGGAATTAGTTATGAAGATTTCAGGGTAAAAGTGAATGAGATACATGCCATAGAATTTGGGGAATGGGGGAAAAGGGTTGTAGTTTCTTGACTTGGGAGAGGTAGCTATGCTGCTGGAAACAAAGGAGCCACATCATATCATCTCTCAAGTTATCCTGCCTCAAAAGGTTGTTGAGAAGATGGAGTGGAATAAGCAATCAGCAGGAGCAGCAGCAATGTGTGAGTGTGTATGTGTGTGACAGAGAGCAGGTTGGGAGAAAGGGGAGAAAGAGAAAGGAGGGTGCGGAGGGGTAAAAAATGTAAGAATTCTTCAAGAACTGTTCAGCACCACCAAAGAGATTTGCTAAAGTAGGTGCTCTTTTGGTGAATGTTTGGTTTACAAGCATCTGTTGGATTAAGAAGTGAGTATCTGACATCTTATAGACCTGCTCCTGAAGGAGCCTGTCCTCATTGTGCTTCTCATTGCCCATGTATTTCTGCTTCACCTCTTCTCATGCTTTCTCATAAATTCTTTGAGAAAGACTTAAAGCCAGTGACCCATTTTCCAAGTGTTGAAAGCGCCATATTAGCAGTGAAAAGCCAAGTCTCCTTGTGCTAGTGTTAATAACCTAGTCTTTCCTCAAGAGCTGTATCAGCTTTTTGTTCTGTACAACCTTTATATGTTCTGGGAGAAGCCCCCAGATGAACCAGGGAGAAGGGAGTGTGATCAAATCAAACAGCCTGGAAATTAAATTCCATCCTCAGAGTTTAATTCAATTTCCTCTTAACTGCAACAAAGAGCTTTGAATGGAAAGCTTTGCTCAACAGGGAGAAAGACATACATAGGCCTGATTAGAAGTTTGGGGGGATGTGGAATGAGAGCCTAGGGTTAGGTAGTAGCCTATAACTTTTTCTCTATTTATCCATGAATAAAGAGAGGAAGGAGAATGCTAGGTCCTTTGGGAGAATGCCATATGAATGCCTGGAGCTTTTAAAGACTCACAATTCCACCAGCCATCTTCAGCTTCATGCATGCATTTGTGACAAGTTGCCACCACCTGCTGGTCATTCAGAGGAGCAGCAACAGTAGCAGCTCTGCTAACAAGAAATCTCAGGCCATGGGCTTACCAAAAGATACCAAAAAGATAGGGTCAGTCCCTCCCTTTAGCAACAGGGAAATAACATGGGAATTTCACAGGTTGGTGACCATTGTTACTGGCATCTCTACTGAACTGCCCAATTAGCATGTGCAGCATTAAAAGCAAAATTGCATAGGGAATATGTCGGTAATAAGGTGGGACTGTTCAAATCCTTTGAAAGAGGTACTTGAACTGTAAAAGCAGGCAAATCTTTTCCTACGCTCATAGCTGTTTTGAAAGCGGCTCCCGCTGTCTCCACACACACATGCAAGCATAGCTACATTTAGATTTCCCCCAGGTTTAGGTTCAATTTCACTGTATCTCTCCACACCTTTCTGTCCTTACAAACTGTACTTGCTCCTGCCACATCCATATATCAATGCATACACTGCCTTTTGTTCTTTAAACTTAGCTTTCCTTTTCAGGGTCTCATCAACTCTGTTCAGCTATGATTTTTGGTTTTTTCCTTCCTTCCGGTCTGTGGACTCTTCGTTCCTATATTTGTTTGCAATTTGATTTTCTTTTATTCTCTGTAGGACTAAACCACCTCAGTATACTTTCATACTGGTCGTTCACTTTTGAATTTGGCCCATTTGCTTCTCATTCTTGACCCACCCTCTTCCTGTTTTACCATATACAGCTCTTAACTAATCCCTTTCCATTGTATTCAACCTACCTTCATGCATCTTATCCAGCTCTCAGTCCTATATAACATAGTCAGCAGAAGCATACTTTCAAACAGAGTCATTTTTGTTTGTCAAAAGATGTATTCCTCACTGCAGACTAATCACTACTTTTTACTAGCATTTGCACAAAATAAGATTTTTCTACTTTTAGTAAACATTCTACCAAGGAATATATTTGCCATTTATGTATAACTTGCAGTCACTCACTTCATTTTCCCTGTGAAACCTAACTACTCTGGTTTTTGATACATTAATTTTTAGATCTATATTTCTTGTTGCATCCTACAGTCTGTCGTTTGCTGCAAATCCCCTAGGTTCTTAGCCAACCACACAGCATTGTCTCAATATAAAAGCACACCCACATTAAGAGCCCTGTGTAAAACACCTACAATGTCACCACCACAGGTATCCTTCTACTTTTATCCATAGGTATATTAAACAATCAAGGTTGCATATGATCCTTACTTGCTGCTTATGTTGAATCATTTGCTAATTCTTATGCATGCTTCACTTTAGTAAAATTTTTGCCCTTCACATAAAGCCCTCTGTAATTCAAGCCTATTGACAATGTCATAAGTTTTTTCTACATCAACAAACATGGAATGAACTTTCTTTCTCACATTCATATGTCTCTCAGTGACCTGCTAAAAAACAAAAATATGGTCTGCACATCCTGCTTGGCATCAACCCATACAGGAAAGCAACACTGCACTTCTTCTCATTGGCACTTCTTATATTGTTTCAGTGAGAATTCTGTCAGACCCCTTCCTAAGCACCTTCATGAAATAATTCCCCAGATTAAAGAAATTGTACAGTCATTCTACAGATACATGCTCCCATAGTTTAACATTTCTCCAGTTACACTGTCTATATATTCAGGCTTACTGGTTTTCAGCATTCTCACAGATGTATAACTTTCATTCAGTTCTTCTGGCACATTCACATTTACAACATTCATTTCAGTTCTGCTCTTTGACATATCACTATCATTCTCATATGGATTTCTAAAATACTTCTTTAGCAATCCTTCATTTGCGTTTCATCCTAAATAGTTTCATCATTTATATTTCTAATTCTGTTCTCTTTCCTGGGAGCTCCTGATTCAGCCCTCTTCATCCACTTCCACAGCATTTTTAAAAATTTATTTCCATCAAAATTGCTCTGCATTTTCTCTGCCTCTTTTACTCTTATTTGTTCCTTCCTCTGTTTGACTGCATTCTTTCACCTATCCTTTTCTCTAAATACATATTATATACATCTCTCTCTTATTTTTTTTGTAACAGTCATGCTCTTGTTGGCATTTTTTTCTCATCCACTCTTTTTTAATCATTCCAAGTGTCTTTTTCATATTCTCCATTGCATAATTCTGTGCACTTTTGTTATATTTTGCAATGTAACTTCTCCACTTGTTTCCAAGCAGATTCAGCGTTATCTTTCCTTATGTCTACTTTTCATACATTCTGCTATGAGATGATTTTATCTTTTAATACTTTCTCATAAACAACTTGCACTTTCTCTTCTTGGAA